ACTCCGCTACCGCTCTATTTATAGTCGCGGTGACCTGTCGTGATATTATGTGGATTTTTTCGGATCTCTAGAGATTCGCGGATTTTCCTGGAATAAAAGAAGGGGCTCTTAGAAATAATATGGGTTTTTTCGAACAATATGGAATGACCGGTTTCTTGGCAGTGTTCTGCAACTGCAGAATGGGAGAAAATACCTGATCGAATGCATCTTTGATGTTCTTGAATCCGAGTTTTGACGGAACGACCAGTTTCGCCAATATACACATGTCCACATGAACAAGGAATAGAATAGACACCACAGGAAGATAGGGGCGGTAATGGGTCCTTAGGAGAGGGTAGATATTGTGAGATTTTCTTGGGTGGTCGAAAAGTAGTCCTGATACCTTCTTTGCGAAGAATTTTGCCAATCCTATCAGTGACACTTCGAATATACGGAAGAAAAGCCACAGGAGTATTACCCGAAGATTCTGAATTTGTCGTCCTAGGGTGTAAAGGGGGATGTAGATATCGGTGTGTAATATTTTGAATTGTGGACTTGGAGTAACCGTTGGCGACAAGGGTTTTTTGCAGATGGCCAAGTTCTTCTCTAAGGTTGTCAGGTTCAGAAATCGAAATGGCCCGATGTATGAGAGAGTTGATCACAGAATTCTTTTGGACAGGATGGTGGTGTGATGAAGCATGTAGGTAACGATTCGTGTGAGTCTTTTTTCTATAAACAGAGTGACCCAATCGGCCATTGGGCTTGGAGGTGACTAACACATCGAGAAAGGGAAGAGACCGATTATTTTCTACTTCCATTGTGAATTTTATACTCGGATGTTGTGAGTTAAGATGATCTAGAAAGGAAAAAAGGGTATGTTGACCATGGGGCCAGATGATAAATGTATCATCAACGTAGTGGAACCAGACTTTTGGTTTTAAGGGGGGTAAGATTCTAGGACTAAAGACTCATGAGTCGCAATTGGCAATAATTAAAAAACAGCTCCAAATTCAAGGCAAAAAAAGAAGTAGGTTTTCTTCCTAGAGGTCTACAATAACTAAAAAAGTTGTCAGCGACCTGGATTATTAAGTGTCACGAACATGGTCTATTTTTTGCTTATTTCCCTGGAGTATATATTTGATTAACATCTGTGTAATTTCTTTGTCGCTTCCTCGCTGGTTTTGCATATTGCTATGATAGCAATATCTTCGGTAAATGTTGCAATTGTATATTTTCTAGGACAATAATATAACACGTATACAAAAGGTAAAGACACTTCTTTGTGGTAGCCCTGCTGTAATATCTGTCAATTCCATGTATGTTTCTTCCTGTTTAATTCTGAAATATCTTTCCAAGATGGAGGAGTCAATTATTTGAGAGTATCGTTTTGGTAAATATAGTCTTAGTTTATAGTTATGGCGTCTTTGCCATACTTTATCATATACCTGAGTCACATCCTAAATTATTGATATAAGGTTGAATGCTCGAATAAATGAACTTTAAAAAATGAAGGCAAATTTCGAGCACAAATTTAATAATCAAATCTTGCCCAAGTACTTCGCTTTCTACAGCATCATCAGGGGCATCTGCGCTTGCTGGATAGACCAAATTTTCTTGGCCTATTTCAGATTCCCCTGATGATGCTGTAGAAAGCGAAAGTACTTGGGCAAGATTTGATTATTAAATTTGTGCTCGATATTTGCCTTAATTTTTCAACGTACATCCTAAAATGTCAAAATGTCCATCATATTATCCTTCATGATCCATATTTCACATCCATATAAATAGTTATACAGTATATTTCATCATCATCATTATCATCATCATCAATGGCGCTACAACTCTTCGTAAGTCTTTGCCGCGGTTACTATTGCCTTCCATGTTTGTCGGTCCTGTGCCAGTAATTCCCATTGTCGCACTCCCATTTTCTCTAGATCTAGGAGTATATTTACATATAACAAATTAAATCCTTAGTTGTAAATTTTTGAAATAAGTACTCAGTATACATCTAAGTTTCATAAATGCTCCTCATAAATCTCATAAATCTAAACTTTTGTACTCCGTTCTTTGTTGACAATTAGTTGCATAGGGCCGACGTTTACTAACCACAAGCACACAAGTAAATTATCTTATTTCTTTCATTTGACAATAATAATTGTCTGTTAGATTAGCACTGTAAGAAGTAAATTAGTCTCTTACTGAATAATAATAAACAACACATCACACTTATTCTGAAACTATTTCTTGTGTCATGGTATATTCTTGTAGTCAAGAAATTTTAAAAAGAACTGATTTCTATTACTATCCAGTGCAAGGACAGTTATTTTGTTATTTATATCGAATAGAGAATACTGTTAGTTTGCGGTATGGACCCAAAAAAAATATTTTATTCGAAAAGATTGATAAATATATGGAACTGTGGGAAAATATGCTACAAAAATTTCAAGATTTTTATTATAATTTTTATTTGAAATACCTTCTGAAGAAATATTAGACATAATTCTATATTTATATAGTTTCATTTTATCAATTTTAATGATCGTGATACTAATTAGATAAGATTTTTATTATAATTTTTATTTGAAACACCTTCTGAAGAAACATTAGACATAATTCTATATTTATATCGTTTCATTTTATCAATTTTAATGATCGTGATACTAATCAAATTTTTATGATATATAATAACAATCTTTTTTTATAATTTTTATTTTCCGTAAACTTTAATCTACGTTAAACTTCAGACAGCCAATTTTTCCGTAAAAAAAATAACAAATAAATTATGTATGTACATTTGTTACATTGTAAATTTATGAATAGATTATATTACTTTGATCTGTTATTATATTTACTCAAAATACCACTAAAGAGATTTATGATCTTATTGTAAGAAAAAAACCTGTCACTGCAGGGGTTCTCTCGGTCGGCTCGAGTAAAAGGTAAACGCATTTTTGACCTGGGCTTGAAAGAGGTCTAAACGAAGTTTAGAATATTACTTCATGAACAGATTTTGTTTTCGTAAAGAAAGAAATTTTTGAAATAGAGATAGCAAACTGAAATTTACCGTTAGAATTATCGAGGATAAGCCTTAAAGGTTAATAAATGTTTGGGATATAAAATACTGGCAAGCAAGAAATACTAGGTCTGTAAAATGCGTATTATTCCAACCAATTAACATTTAAAAATATCAAAGAACATCCATGGCCATCTACATAGTGCAGTTTTATGCTTTTAATAATAGCTACTCCCGTAGCTGAAAAGAATACTGACTGGAATTTATGAAGCAACAAACATGAAGATTGTAGATTCCTGGAACTGCACAACACGGGATATCAAACATTTTAAAACATAATTTCTTTCGTAGGATCCTCATGAACTGACCAGATAAGAAAAACAACTTATCGATAACCCATGGGGCTATTGAACAGTAACATCTTTAAGTAAGGTAACTTAGACACAGGATATAGAAACGCAAGAATGTGTGTTTGGTTGAGAAAGGTGATAGATATGGAAAGCTAGGATCTACATATAATTATAAAGACATATTGATGAAAATATTAGATAATGTTTATTAAAATTCTTTCATAGACAAATAAATTGATTAAATTTATTGAAAACTACTTTTTTCAGTAGGCTTATCAACTTTTATGTGAGTTCCATCTATAGCAACAATTACCCCTGGAAATCCTCTACCTCGGAAATATAATTCAATTTCCTGCTTTTCGGTTAGATTTGTCCACTTTATGACACTTGATGCCATCTCACTTAAAAATCAAGTCATTTTTCCAATTATTCTGTGGAGAGAACTTAAAAAAATAGTAAATCTGACACATCCCTAAACGAAGCAGTCTGATGTCTACAAAACCAAAGAAATACCAATACAAAATAACTGGCTGTTAACTTACCATTGCAACCACTTGCTTCATGGACTTGCACTTGCACATGGACACTTGCATTAAAATATGGACTTTCTGTAAATTTCTCTTCCAACTGATGATATACATTTCTCGACACTCGAAAATGTGGAACTCACTATATTGTGGAACAATTACTTCAATATAAGTTTTGTTTCTAACGACTGTTTCTTGATGATTTTCTAATAATAATAATAATTCTTTGTCACCACTTAAACTGTCCATGTCTGAAACAAAATCTTCCATTTTTAATAAAACTCTCAAATTAGATAAACACTATGTAAGTATTTCCACAATATAGAAAAAGCTGACACTCTAATAATACTGACTATTTAATACTAATAATACGACACACTAATAATAATAACTAATAATAAGTTATAACTAATACTGACAGAAATATAATAACAATAACAACAAAATGATAAATGGGATAAATGTAAATGATAAACAATGATGTTCGACATTCGTTCGTCAAGATTTACGCATGCGCGAACTGAAAATCCAGTTTAAAATTGAGGATCGAATTTACGATTCTAGATTGGTTCGGAATTAAAAGTTCTTTGGGCTAGAACACTGAACCAATAGTCCCCTCGAACTTATAATCCTCAACTTCTCGTTGCTGGAACGTGTTTTATGTAAAGCGCACGCTTAGTACGATACTGAATCAGTTCAAGATTTTGCTGGAACAAACCTAATATAAACTGTTTTGAAGCTTCTTATGTCAGCAAAGTTAGCCTAGTTTCTGACACAGTATCCCAGTACAATTTCCTGGAATGTAATTTTGTGTGCACTTGTCTTCTGTTCGAGAATTTATTAAAAAACTAATCTGTTTTCAAGATTTAATGTGGAATTCTATTGACAGTTTAAATAATTATTTTTTTCAGGTTTCCATAGACTACGATGATGGCATTGTAGATGCTTAATGCAATTGTCCGAGAGGTCAGGTGGTGTGTCATCATATGGAAGCATTATGTTAACATGCTCACCATAATATTAGTATTACTGATAAGGCCTATGCATGGAACAAAAGGAAAGCTGTTGACATAGAAACTGTAACTAAAATCAGAGGCATCTATAAACCTAAAAAATCGAATTATGTGGCAGTACACAGGAAACAAAACAGGAGGAAATTGAACATTTTAGAGATGAGTTGGGTCACACAAATCCCACTGGATTTACTTGGTTACTAGTGCCTGGACCTTTACCGGAAGCAAACTTGTTGTCAAGCATTGAAACTATTTTGTTTTCGGAAAGCTACATGAATGTGTCAGACAAAGAAGAGTTTTTCCTGAAGGAATGTAGGGTGACACAGTCACTTAGACGCAGTGTTCATGATATGACAAATGGGCAGGCAGACAACCAAAATTGGCTGATAGCAAGAAAATATAGACTGACAAGCAGCAAATTTGGTCCAGTCATTGCTGCATATAATAGAGGCAAATATCCAAAGTATATCTTTACAAATTTACTCGAGGGGTATGACCTAAATGGTGTTCAAGCTATCCAGTTGGGCAGGGAAAACAAAAGATGCGCCTAACTAAATTCTCTGAGGTCACTGGTTTAGACATTGAACCAGCAGGATTTTGCCTTCATGAAAATGGATTTTTGGGAACAAGCCCAGATGTCAGCTAGAGGTGCATTATTGAAGCAAAATGTTCTTTTAAATATAGGAAGAAACCAAGGTTTAAAGAAGCTCTAAATAATGAGAAAAAATACATAGTTTTTTATTAAAATGGAAATTTAGTAGTCAATGAGGATCATGTATACTACTACCAAATACAAGGAGAGTTACACATAACCAACAGAGATATGTGTTATTTAATTATTTGGGTCCCCAATGATCATTTAATAGTTAGAATTTCAAAAGATGATGATTGACAAAATAATTTAAATGTTTTACAAACATTTTACTTAAATCACTTTATTAAGTTTGTTACTAGTTAGTTTAAAAAAATAAAAGCTAGTTGTTAAAAATGTGTTTTTATCCTTTAAACCCTTATTTTGTACTAAACAAAATAGGTATCGTGACAAATAATGTACTTTAGACTGGGAAGTGGTTCTCATCACCACAAAAATATTTACTTTTTATTGTTAGTTGTATTTCACATTTGCAATTTTAAGTAGTACAAAGATGCATTTTTTAATAGTGGTTTACAGTTCAACGATAAAAAGAGTGATATTCTAATTCATTATATTTCCAAGATAAAATTACAGCATAAAACTTAAAATATATCAGAATAGTTTAATGTAAGTAAATATTAGCAGCATCAATAATAACTATCTTAGTTTTTATGACATTTGTAATTTTTACCCACGCCTTTAATTTTGAGACACCTTCAGGATAAAACTGCTCTGCTTCTTTAATTGGGAGATATTACATATTTGTTAAAGCCGCAATTACCTGCAAGACGGCATCGAAGCCCTAGCAATGCACTCAGTCTGTCTAACTTGCTCAGGGGTAAACTGTACAGTTGTTAGAAAGGGTGAAATGGTAATTTGGACTCTAGAAGGTACTATATCTTTAATTTAAAATCCTTTGTCTTCTAAAATTAAATTCCCTGCTTCTAAGTGATCTATAATTCCAGAATCTTTAACAATTTTTTTTGTCAGATGTTGATCCTGGATATAGGCATGACACAAATATAACTACTCTATTGGAAGCCACTCAAACTAATCCTTTATATGTATTTCTATGTTTGTAGGAACTATTTTATTCTATAACTATTTAATAGACGTCATTTTTCGTGTCTTTTTATGTTCCATTTTGGATGCAGGTTGGTCCAAATAACATAAGATGCTAGACAGCACACATCCAACATATTCAAAAATATGCGAAAGTCCAACGGTTTGTTCTACATTTGCACATATATTGATGCACCATCTGGTCAAGCGAGTCAACTCCACCTTTTGTTTTATTTTAGTAGAGAAAAATCTCTGGTTTATGGTTCACACTTTTCTTAGGCTTAGGCATGTATGATACCAATGTCGCCTTTTTTGTGAATTCAAATATAGAAGACAATTGCTCCTTGTCGATTGCGTCGATTGTTATATTCCGTCCTGGCAAATAATGCTTTTTCAAATTTCCCAATATTTTATCCCATATATCCCGTATAGCAGCCAGTTTATCTTTGTTGCGTCTCTCGGATCTTGTCGCTTTGTCGTCGAAACGAATAAAACCCAAAAGCTCTTTGAACCGCTTTATACCCATAGTGGCTCGAAAAATCTGTGGTCCATAAAGTAAATTCCACAAAGCTTCATAACTTGCATAGTTTGATTTTAGATTCCCGGCGGTGAACAGGAGACCAAAGAAGAAAGCATACATTTCAATTCTATCACAGGACTTCCGTGGTTTATTTTGCAATACACGATGAGCCTCTAGATTGGTGTAACGGACAATGTCATCCACAATATTTTCAGTGAAATATAACCGAAATGTATCTATTGGTTCTTTAATGAGTGTTCCAGGTGGAAGTTAAACTCTGTGCAATGGTCCTTTTACCATATTCTGAATTCGTGTTCGTCCAGTCGGAAAAGGTTGTGATAACCACTCTGTTTTATTTTTTGCAACATACATTTCTGGTTGACTGTTTCTGCTGTGTTCTTCAACAGCTGAAATGTTATTATAAAGTATTCTAGTCGATATCTACGTTTTGTTTTATACTTACATGGATTTTCCTCTATGCACATGTTCTATTTTTCTCATTTATTGGACGTAAATTCAGTGTCACCAACCTGTGTGGATTTGGCAAAAAAAGTAGGGCTTTTATCAAGTAAACGCGTTCGCAAGCTTTTATTATTGTTTGTTGGCATCTGTTGACATCTTGGCAGCAAGTCACGTGGAGCAGTTTATTTTATAAACATTTTTAATTTTAAAATTAAAAAATGAGTTGTGGAAAAGAGGTAAGCTTATTATCGTATATAATTAATACGACAGAAGATAATATATGTATTTTTTTAGGAAAAAAAGGATTATTTTCACAAAAATCCATAGCCGAAAATTTTAACCATAAATACCCATCGGCCAACGTGGGGGCGGATGATATCAGAAAAAAGATAAACAGTCTGAGGACTCAGTATTTTGCCGAAAAAAAAAACAAAATAAGGAGCAGCACGACCAGTGGTAGTGGAACAGACCAAGTTTATTGTCCCTCCTTATGGTGTTTTGACAATCTAAAATTCCTGGATGGCAGTAATCCTGTACGTTCAAGTGCGTCCAATCTAATGGAACAAGTAAGTGAGTTTAGAGACCCTGTTAATGAAATTAACAGTTGTACTGTTGATGGGTCTTCGAGTCATTTATTTCAGCTAAACTGAAATGGGCAAGCTTTATCTGAAGGACCAGAGCCATCCAGGAAATTACAAAAAAGAATATTAGAGTCCTCAGATGTTTTACTTGATTCGCCGTCCACAAGACTTTCGTAGAATCAGAGCCAGAATTTTCCGTACAATCTGATATGCTTCAGACTCCTTTAATATCATCAGAAACTAATTTGGAGACACCTTAAATTAAACCCAAAAGGAGGAAACTTGTCCCAAAGGCAGATAATAGTAAGGATGTGCATGCTGTAAAAATTATGAAGGCAGCTACAAGATTTTTAGAAAAATATGAAACAGATTCTAAATCTGAAGCAGATCTTGTTGATAATTTCTTGGTGTAAGTAAAAAAATTTAGTACTTATTTTGTAAATATTTGTATGGTTTTAATGTTTAAACAGTTTTGTTGCAATAATTCATGTACATAACTTGAAATAATCTCATATATTGTTACAGACATTTAAGCGCAGAAATACGGCAAATTAAAAATTCCAAGAGAGCTAAGTTGCTTCGTAGCAAATTAATGAATTTTGTGCATGAGGCCCAGGCAGAGGAGGGAGAGGAAAGTTAAGGAGTTTAAGACTTTAAGGTCCAGTTATTAGAGAGTTATCAAGTAAAATTTTATCCTTTCGTTATTTTGACACGTAAACGCTATTTTTTACGGTATAATTTTTAACGGATATGTAATTTTAATGTTATCAAATGGTCGAATTGGTGCTTCACGTTAATAATTGGCAGCTGTCAGTCAAATGTGACAGCAAATAATTAAATTTTTTTTGTTTTCTTTCAGCTTTCACCCAAGGTATATATTTTGACTGGTTTTCTACGTTTTGAGATTCAAATTTTTTCTACAGAAATATGGAGCACATTTTAGAACAAGCAATATTAGTTGAAGCAAATGACGAAGTTGTAGAAGATTTAATACTAAATCATATTTTAAATGATAACGTACAAAATGTACATTCTGTGTTCAATTTTGATAGCTTAGAGCCTGAGCAAGCCAAACGGTATTTTCGGTTTAAAAAACAGGACATTCCAAGGCTTGCTCAATTATTAGGGATACCAGATACAATTGTAACAGAAACTGGCCACACCTGTACTGGTAAGTAATACTGAAAGGAACTACAATTTTAACCCTGCTGTCCTGTTCGGGTCTATTTGACCCAAAAAAAAAATTATTTCTTATTTTACAAATTATTACGCGGCGTAACGTTTTGGTGTTTCGTGACTTTATTACTTAATATGAGGTCTTTCAATTGCATAAAAGATAAAAAATCAACTTGCTCATTTTTTTGATAAAAATTAAATTGTTACCTATGGTACGCTCGGGTCAATATGACCCACTTATTTAAACCGTTAAAAATTACCTGTATAGGTATGTTTAGTTGGTAGTATTTTATATTTTCTAATAGTGTTTGTCAGTCAGGTACGTCTATAAATAAAAACAAGTTTCTACAAGCTAGAACTTGTAAAATATGTGTAGTGTAGCTGGACGATGTCAGGTAGAATGGCATGTCACGTAAAAGGAAATGGGGGTGATAGACAAGTGGTAAAACACTAATATTCCAAGGCCAAGCGCATTCATTTATTCGTTTATATTTCAAATTTCAGTCTATGTTTGCATGTTGATAATGTCGCATCGTAGAGCGCTAACCGAAGATGAGCATCGCGAGCTCGCGAACGTGTCAGAGAGTGATGAGTGCATATCAGAAACAGAAAACAATACAAGTAGTGAGAGTGAGGAAGAAAGTAGTGATGAATCCTTTGGTGTTCCATTCTACGTACAACATCCTGTAGAACCTTCTGTAATGGTTCCTTCAAAAGACGATACTATCCAATGGTCGCTCGATCCTCCTTATCAACGCGGTCGTTTTTCTACGGCCAATGTTATAAATAATGCTCCAGGAGTTACAAAGTACGCATGTGCACGAATTTTCGATATTAAAAATTTATTTGACGCACTCTTTTCTGACATAGTTGCAAACCAAATTATAAATATGACCAACATGGAAGGACAGCGTGTTTTTGGAAACAACTGGAAAGACTTAGATAAAATTGGTTTTCAAGCATACATTGGTCTGTTATTGTTAGCTGGAGTTTTTAAGTCCCATGGTGAATCAACTAAAAGTTTGTGGAATGAAGAAACGGGTCGTAGTATATTTCGAGCAACAATGTCCCTTGAAGTATTTACAAAAATTTCGCAAGTAATATGTTTTGATAACA